TTAACTAGTTTTTGAGCAAAAAAATACAAATGTAACACGAATGAACAAAGTGTACCTTGCGGGCACGGCATCCCTCGATGCTGCGGTCTCTTGAGAGTATGGTGGAACGACTTCTCGACTAGGGCCTGACGACTCTTCATCGCGATTATTGTTCTTCTCTTGTAAACGCGCGCTACGCTCGATGCGCGCGATTTTCTCCTTTAATGGCAAACGCAAGTGTGTTTTGCAGAAGAACCTGTAAACAGAAATGATTTCAAGCGAAGTCCTTTGATGACCACAAGGGAAAAAAGCAAGCAAACCGCTGAGTAATAAAAAACGCCTATATCTTATTTCAGCCGCCTCAGCTGAATTCAACGGCCGACCTTTTAGGATGATGAAATTCGAGATCCTTGTCCTTTCCGCATTCGCCTATACGTAGCGGTTGACTACAGTATGCGCAACGAAAGCAATTCTTGTGGACGAACATTGATTCCACTTGCATACGCTCTGCCAAGTACACGACCTTCAAATAATTTGCTAGGAAAAGAATGTAATTGAGTTTAAATTAGGCAGAGTTCAGACTTCGCGATAACGCACGCGCGTCGACGCGCGACGACGCGCTACAATTACAATAGTGCTCCAATACTATAGACGCCAATGCAGCCGCAGGCGGCAATTGAACGGCGGCGGCCGCTTGTGTTTTGAACGACAGTGTTGGGAGAATAGGAAAGAACTCATGCAATCTCGTATCGATCGGCACTGGACGCTAGTGTTCTGGGAGAGAACAGAAGGATTGGAGGGTACCAGATTGTGTGAAGACAACGCCTACCCTCCTTTTATCCTATACCTCTTACTCAAACACAAGCGGCCCACGCCGATCGCCACCGTTTTCTGCTCCGCCCTGTCCACAATATTGGGTCGTTGTTGCAATTGTAGCGCGTCGTCGCGAGTCACCTGCTTCACCGCGAAGTCTCGTTGCTGCATTAATGTAATATATCACAAACCTTATCACATAACTGACAAATTTCTTGGCGATTTGCATTGACACTTTCATAAAGCGAAGACATCGATGGCGCTGAAAAATGGCGCTTCGGCTGCACAGGCGCCACTGGCTAAAAAATTCAGGGTCACTTCCGTTTGAGGAAGCGTTGTGATTTCTCGGAACATGCTCTTACCCTAAGGACAACCGCATCGCGCTCCTTAGCCACACTCTTCATTTTTTGAGAGGAAGCGTATGGTGCAGATTCAGGCACACCGTTCTGAAACACCGGATCTTTCTGCCAAGCATGGTGAAATGTCAAACTAGCGCAAAAATAGCAACCTTGAATCCTTCCAACTCTTGATCATTTGGAGAACCGTTTCCAGGTTCTCTTCTCAGGTGTGCAGATTTTGCCTGAAACACGGCGATGCAGTAAATTGCAGCTACGATGAAGTAGTTCCCAAAAGTTTCGAAATAGACCAACCTTCTCATCTTCACTAGTAATAGGACCCTTTCCCTTATAAAGTACTCGCACGTCAGTGTCTCCCAATTTCTTTTCCGCATGGTCTAGGCCATTTTCAGCAGTCTTCTTAGACGTGAGTTGCACCTGCACATGTGGAAATCCACTCGTATAAGGCAGCGTTCAGACTTCACGATGACGCGCGTCGACGCGCTGCAAGTGCGCGTGGCTCCAATGGCGAACGCAGCCGCAGACGGGTATCGATCAGTGCCGGCCCCTAGTGTTTTGAGAGAGTATCCTGTCACAGGATGGTAGGAGCCGCCTCACGCAATCCCATACTCCCATTCTTCTGTACTCTCCCAGAGCCCTAGTGCTGATCGTTACCTGACTGCGCGTCCTGTTCTCCCATACACTCTTAGTGCACATGCGGCCAGTACCGATCGATATTGGTCTGCAGCTGCGTTCGTTTTTATATAACTGCAGCGCTGTTGCAAATGTAGCGCGTCGACCCGCGTCATCGTGAAGTCTGAACGCTGCCCCATAAAATACTTCAAATAGAAAATGTTCTGTAAAGAACCAACTCTTCGATTCTCTCCTGCTTGTGAGTAGGTAAGTTGTTGGCTGCGATTACCTTCAGAAGCCATTTTTTCCGCCTAGAAATATGAGCGAAGTATGAAAAAAAAATCACAGTCTGCGTGAGAATACATAGATATACGTACCTTGGCGAGAATTTCGGGATCAATGCGGTCAACAGTTCTTCGGCTATGAATTCTCGAAATCACCTCCTTAATAAGGATTATAACGGAAGAACTATCTCAGTAACTTCAATATCATGTGATAGATACCTTCTTCTCAGGCACTGATTTGAAGGAATATCGACGGATAACAGTCACCTTCGCTTCATTTGATCTGTCAAGAGGATCAACATTTTCAATTTGGTGTTTTGGATGCTCTGGGGATGTTAACTGAACCAATTCCTGAATCAATCGAGAGACTCTACCGGACACTTACGAGCAATACTAAAAAAGAACCTACATCTTTCAAACCTGAAATCACGCCGGCATTGATAAAAGTGGTGCATCCTATTAAATTGTCCGCTAACTTCTGAATAGGTTCCGACCTCTTCGGATTCGAAGAGTACGCCTGAAGGATTACATACAATGACTGTTTCACAAAGTGTGGATCAACCCTCCTAAGATATCGCGAACTTTCAGTACCAATTTCTGCTCCTATCCAATTTCCCTAATTAACCCAACAGAGAGCAGACTAAGGGGGTCTTTAGAACTTTGAAATCCTCTTGAAAAGATTCGGACTCATCCTCCCACTGCCACTTTACCACTCATAATTGCATGACGGAGTTGTGGTGACAAACATGCAACTCCAGATGATCAATTATCAACCTCCAATCGTGCAAGAACCGTGAAAATGGTAAGGAAAAACCGTCAGTAATACTCCTATCTCGGACATGCTTTGGCGAATGGACTTCTCAAGCAGGAGTAACATTTACGCCCTCCTATCACCCTCCCATAAAACAATGATCTTTGCATCCATACGAGGTTCATTCTGTGAAAGTCGTGTTTCTATCAGAATTCATTTTCTGGGATCCAAAAAAAGACGCCGAGGGTAAAAATCGTGCTTGTAAAAATAAAAGCATGTGCAGCAGCAAGGAACATGATATTTCCAACGTGTCCGTAGGCTGGTACGAGTAACATAAGGTATCAGGTTGAGGCATGAGTGTCCCGCAGTTATTGCCTCAGAAACCATACCCGTGTGAAAGCGGTCACCCGCCCGCTAAACAATCCATTGGGCGATTAATCTATCCCAACCACGATAAAAATATTGGCACAAGCACTAACCACTGAAGACAGCGCTGGAGCTTTATTTATTACTACTCTTCACCTCAAAAATATTCTCGAAAGCTCTCTCTCAAGTGGTAATTAAGGAACCTACCGGTTGCGGAAACTTCCTTTGGCAACGTGAGACGTGGCGTAACCATTTGGCTCTTGAAACGATTTTTGTCGCTTCTATAATTAGCGATTATTACCAGTCATACATTAGTTGAAACGCTTAAGTAAACACGTCAGGTCCTATCAGAACCAATCTATATAGTCTGCTACCTCAGGTACAAGAGAATTGACTGAGTGACAGCAGCAGAAAACAGCGGATATACATAGGCACTTCAACTTACTTGCCGCTACAAAATAAGAATAATAGAAGATCAAAGAACAAAAGTCAACACCGTTGATCGATCCCCTTTGGGTACGGCACCGCATGTGTAACTTCCATCAGAATTGTAGTGCGTACGCTGAATGCGAGGTTGCGCTGATACAATGACGTGCACAGGGCCACACGCATGTACAAGTCATCTACCCTACAAACGTAATCTGGAACCAATTGTAGTGTCACATAGGGGTTAGAAATGCTTGATTGCCATCGGGGGGGGGAGTCGACCGGTGTTTTGAACGCACGACCGCAACGTGCAGTAAACCGCCACTTGAACTGAACCCATCCTCAGCCTCACACAACAGAAATGCTCTCATATTAGGGTCACCGAAAGGGTAACATTCAACTTAGGATCTCGATCAATCTCATCCTGTACATTCTGGAATCCAATTAACGGCTAGTTTACAGGAAAGTATGGAGTGAGCATCTATAGACGGCTGAGACGCCACCGCGGCCTGCTCTTTTCATATCGAAAGACGGGATGAATATCCATCAGTTGTCCGCTGCTTTTCAAGCAATCTTAACTACAATCACAAAGTGATTAGAGCCACAAGCAACCTCCTGGCTAAATTATCAAAGATCCGGACTGTTTGCTTGAGCTAACCTATTGATGGCAAACTTTGTTCAAATGATCTCTTCGTTGCGTTAGCCCGGACCGGCTGGCTCTCTCCAGATTGAAACCAATCGGTTACAGAACATTCGCCCCTTCCGCACACAACATTTGACTGCTCAAAGCTCGAATGATTGACGCCCACTACTTCATAAAATGTAGGAAGGTTCAAAGAAAAAAAGAAGTATTCAACCCATAAGCGGATCCGATCTAAGCTGCAAGGAGAAACGTTCCAGCATACGTCTCGCTTGGAGTGATTAACAACATTGTGCGGGGGTGAAAGTAGGTTTTACAGAACGATCCCCAGCACCCAGTGGTAAATCCATAGGAGGCGCAGAAATCGGTGCTCGTCTGATCAACTCAATGGAAAGGGCATGCTGTGCTTATAATAAGGTGATCAGGGGATCACTGCAAGGAATTTTTTCTCAACGCAAAAATGTTGCTCTGCTAGGCGAACCACACCGGTCATCGAAAACGACACAGCCTCGAGATCGCAAGCTCTGGTCGGGATCATACTCCGGACCGCATCGTGGCAGCTCAACATAGCCCCTTCTGACTGACCATCTTACCTAGTCCCGCCGTCCTCCAGGTGGGTGTGGGGAAAGATTCTAAGAAGCACTCTGAAAATAATCTGGCTTCCTTTTATTCATGGGACCGCAAAAGCTTCTTGAAGCGGCGTCACTCTGTCATGGTTTGTTAGCAGCGTCAACGATGTATTAGCGCAATATATGCCACATAATATCCCAGTTCGATTGGAATCAACTAGACGAAGAGTCGGAGTGCACTAATACCCTGATAAACAGTAATCATACGTTGGACTGAAAAATCCGCTCACACCTTGCGGCTGTCAGCACGGTCCACCGAATGTTTCGACTTAAACTTTCAGGCTATTCCGCAATGAAAGTGGTTCAACGATCGTTTGCTTTTGATAAGGTTTACGACCCACTCAATGGCAGATGTAGCATTCTTCAAAGAAACACTCGCAGCAATTAAACAAGAAGGCAATTTTTTGCACTACTTCACTTGTCGTCTGGTCTTTAATAGTCTCCCCTCCCATCACTTAAGAAAACTGGGAATTTTTTTTAAAGTTCTATAATGGTGATTGTTGTTTAAGGAGGCATTTGCGCTCCGGAAGTTATCACAGGAATGCTGAGTTATGTGCAAAAGACTTGACCCCAGGTGAGACGAGATGTAATGACTTTCAAAGAGTCATCTGCGCCGCCACTCGATGTCTGAAGCTATTGTTGTTATAGCCACCTTCTATAATAGTTAATTACCCTCACACTTGCTACAACTGGTCACACTTTCCATTCATTTTTCCATCTTATCGACTCATTTCACTTGTTTTGCACAGAGCTACCTACTTATATCTTATCAGAGCCCACCCCACAGTCACGTTGTTCCGATCGCTCAATGACCTAAAACAAAATAATCGGTGGTCTGATAGAGCTCCTATCATTTTTACTTATGTTTCAGTGAACACCTTTATCAGTGATTATTGGAAGGCGGTTGCAGGCATCACAAACCCCTTTCCCTTTCCGTTTACCGATCACACAACTGAGCTCTCTAACAAGCAAACAAAGAAGAAGCGGTAGCAACTCGTCCTACGACTTGACCGGCTGTAGGACGATTCCAGCAAAGAAAAGTCACAGCTACACTTTGGATAGCGTTTCATCCGGCTGCAAGTAGCAGTTTCACCGAAAGTCTGGCGGCCTGTGCAGAAGAAAACGAGATTTTGAAGGGGAAGCGAACAGACGAGTGAGCGTTCCGCACTATAAGTAGCACTTGAGAACAACTTGGCGTCCTTCATAGAGCAGCCTTACGTCAAACTTGATTGCTGATAAAGAAGTCATGAAGGTGTAATAAGGCGGAAAAACTTTGTTAAAACTGAAAATGTTGGAGTAGGAACAGAAGTGCTCTAGTAGTGTTTCGCTCAGATGGCTAAGGATTTAAACATTTGCTGGAATGAAAGGCACCGTTTCAGAGGAATTCCGTACGGTACGCTTTTAATTTTGAACTCTCTAGCTGTGGTATACAGTCTAGTTCGCTGCGAATGACGGGCGTGTCCGCGCGACTGCGTCTGGCACCCCACCAAATCCGTTCTGCATCAGTAAGCGACAACAGCTGGTGAAAAACGACAGGTACGAACGATGTGATACAGTGCTGTTACTTGCCGAAAGAAAAACGGACACGTCCCATCATTTGCAGCGAACCACACTGTAACTTCAGCGACGGTATGAAAGCAGAATAATTACAAACTACAGTAGTGGAGACCCCGAAAAGTAGGAGAGCGCGCGTTCTCCCAACTCGCACACCCCAACTAGAGACCAGTGAGTCCCAGCTCACCCTTTTACGCCAATTTTCCCCAATATGGTCATTCTCCAAAATCATGAGTTCTTCACATTCGCAAAACATGAACCCATCTTCGCTCGCTACCAGCCATGATAGCAATATAAGCAATATAAGGGAAGAGAAAACAAGCTCTTGATTACAGTAAAAATTGGCGCCCATAACCAGGAGGGGAAACTCAGAGACCCTTATGCTGAACTGGGATTCCCGCAACAGTGATGAGCTCACCCATGATAGTCCAGAGGGAGGAGCCCGAGGATAGCGAACTAATCTGAAAGACGATACTTCTATGTGGAGTGGCGGGGTGGTGTAGTGGCAAGTGGCACGCCCACGCGCGCGGTCAGGGGGTCAAGTTCCCGGTCGGCTCCCGCCTAGGCCAACCAAGTCTTCTACTCTCCGAGAACGGTACTGGAACCAGATTCGGGTGGAACAATGACGTGTACATAAGCTGGCCCCGCAAGTCGTTGCATAGGCCACAACGCATTCAATAAGCCACTGCGATTCTGTGTGGAGGTAGAATGCATGCCGCACCCGAAGCAAGGGTCGATTAACTGCGAAAACCTTATTTTTTTTAAACATCCATTTGGACGTTATTTCCATTTTTTGCACAAAGAAAACTTCAAAATGTCCATGCCCATGGTTAGTAGCGCCTAAAAATATGCCTCTCGTCTTACCTTACAGCATCAACTATATCTCCAATATAGGCAATCTTTTCCTCAGCCATCAAAGAAGGCCATTCCGAGGGTGTACAAGGAGCTTTCACTGCCATAGCCTCCTCCACTATTTTGAAGACCATCTAAACATGACATAGGTGATTTGAAAAGATTGCGCTTTTGGATTTCCTGACCTGCAACCTCTCTTTACTGCTCTCCAAACTAATAACAGAAAAGTAGTCAATTAATTCCGGTCTAAACTTGGCTATTAATCCTGCCAGTGCTCGACCATCATTCCAACTAAAATACAGTACTATGAAATACTAGAACCAAAGGAAATGAAAACCTAAAGGCATGGAACATACCATGAGTCCATATCAAACATCTTCAGTTTATAGGGTGAAAGAGCCTGATGACAAAATTTCCATAAGGAATATGTTCTGAGAGCTGGGTTCATGTGAACGGAGGAGCTATTATTCATGGTAAGAGGTTGCCCAATGGGTGCTGAAATCAGAACTATCAGCATAAACGTATAAATTAAGGCCGCGTCCAGACTTCGCGATGACGCGTGTCAACGCGCTACAGTTACAACAGCGCTCCAGTAGTATAGACGCGAACGCAGCTGCAAGCCGAGTCGATCGGTCGACGCTCCCCGCTTGTGTTTTGAGAGAGTATATGGGGAAAAGGAGAGCAGCCGCTGCCGTCACACATACCCCTGGTACCCTCCACTTCTTCTTTACGCTCCCAAAGCACTAGCGGCCAGTGAGGATCGATACCGGATTGCGCGATGAGGTAATGCGTACAATCCTGTTCCCCATACTATCTCGAAACACAAGCGGCCGGCGCCAGACGATTTCCGTCTGCGGCTGCGTTCATGTAATGGCCTTGAGGCGCTATTGCAAATGTAGCGGACGAATGTCGACGCCCGTTTTCGCGAATGCTGCCTGGAACGTATATTACTGGATGCGCTTTTAAGCTGCTTTCCAGATTTACAAGCATTCTTTAAACGAAATTATTAAAATTTAGCAACAATATGGGACTCGGGGGCAGGAGGTGGTGACAAGTGGCGCGCTCATCACTCGCACGGTCGTGGGTTCAAATCCCGGGTCGACTCCCGCCCAGGCCAACCAAGCCTTCTACCCTCCGGGGACGGTAAATTGGTACCAGATTCGTCTGGGAGGATAAAACACTGACTTGTACATCGGCTGGCCACCGCAAGTCATTGTATAGGCCACATCGCATTCAATAAGCCACTACGATTCTGAATGGAAGTAGAATGCGTGCCGCATCCCACAAAGGGATTGATCAACGGCGAAGACTTTATCCTTTTATGGAACTCCGAAAATAGAAGGAGCATGTATAGTATTCCATTTTAGCAAAACTCTCAAAGCTTTTCATCACGAAACGGCACTGGGGGAGGGCACGCGGCACCAAGTGATCCTCTTCGCTTGCTACGCTTAACCGAAGAAGAGCGGAAACGACGTGGATGGGGCGCAGAGGAGCGCTCGTCGCGCTGCCGCGCCCTTTCACCCCCCCCCCCCTCCCCGCTCGCAACTCCCGCCATCAGTTACAGTGCTTTCACATTTCAACGTGACGTGAATTCCAACGTTTTCTCCGTTTGAGATTCTGAAGCATTGTCTTTAACATAGCATTACTTACCTAATCTGGGATTATCAGAGCTTACAATCTGAACGACATCCTCAGGTTGGAGAGTTGATTCCAGAGACACGTAACGCGTCTTGGGATCAATTGTGTACTGAAATCCGTAGATTCAATAATCACTTCAATAGTGACATACAAGCAAAGCAGGAACCTTATTAATGGCTTTATTCATGTTATCTTTGGTGACCTGAGCCAGTAACCGATAGATACTCTCACGCTCTGCAATCATTTCAAGCGGACCTGAAAGGGAAGCAATAGTTCCACGAAGGTGTACACTGGTAGTAGACCGACCTCTTTTGTTCAACCCATACTCTCTAATCAACCACGCTGTATCGAGAACACCCAGAAATCCACGTGCACAGCCAGATCCAGTGGGCCAGAAAGGCTGGAATGAAAGTTTTGTATCTGTTCAAACCATGAGAGAGGAAAAAAAATCAAACCTACAACTACTTTAAAAGGGCTCGATGTGATGAAGATCAAATAGAGATGAACTAATGATTACAAAATTTACCTCATGCAGCGAATCACCGACGATACCCATAAGGAGGCACTTATTCATTCGCTCCACCAGTCGTACAGAACACTTGGATGAGTAGAGGCTTGTAAAGTCAAACATCGCGATGTCTTCATTTCCTCGGTGATTTTTGGCAAAATTCAGGGCAGGAAGCTTTCCTGAAGATCCGATTGCATGTAGTACTGTGCAATACCCACCACCACTACAGCCTGTTCGTACTGATCTTTGAAAAAAAGTTTCCTTTTCAGAGCAATAACGTCAAGATTCTCTTCATATCACTTCATTCACTGTCTATTTGTTAAGATGGGTTCATGATTTGCGACTTGGGAGAAACTGCGTCCGATCGATACCTTCACTACACTTCCGCTCAAAACGACGATTCTTCCGAAAAGCTGATTCTTCCAAGTCGCAGAGTATAAACGCAAACGCTGCCTTACCTCACTTCATTTGTACAGCAGCGAATGGTCCTATGTACCACATGCGCGATCGGGAATTCGAGTTCCGATGTGGTTCGCACCCAAGCCAACTAAGCCGTCTACCCTCAGGGCACGGTGAATAGATACCAGATTTATATCAGATAACAACACTGACTTGTACATCGACTATTTGCCGCAAGTTATGGCTACATCGCGGCGATAACTTTCTCCTTCAGCTTCTTTATCATGAGGACAGCATTCGTCGTATTCCACACCCAATCTATTCAAGTCAGGGCACGCCCTGCGATTGGGGAAAGTTCTTATAAAGTACGACCCCTACCAAAATTTCTCCCTATAGCATGACTGCCCGGCATCTTGCTGAACTTTCTCAATTTTCTAGCATATCTCCATTTTTCTGAGAAAAAAAAACGCAAAGAAGTTCAATCACATACTTCTCGAAGTCAAATACGACCTTCCCCCCCTCCCCCCCCCCCCGTCCGCTCGCTGGGATCACCAACGCACGATGTGCTATTCGATCACTTTGAATCACAATAATCCACACGGAGCTCGAGATCTTAGTAAACCCTTGTTCACGGTTTATCAGGGACTGAGCAGATTTATTACCATATTGAATCAAGCTGTAATGGCGTTCATACTTCGCGATCGCGTGATTCAATTGAGCGATCGCGAAGTATGAACGCGCTCCAAAAATGTTGAACCATATGAACGACTAACCCTGTACAGCCGTCATGGAAAAAATCGCACCCTTTGGAGAATCTTATTCTCATCATGCAGAGGTCTTTTACATTTTCTGCTGAGGCCTCCAGCGTGTATCTCATGATAAAACTGTACACCTCTTCGCTCAGTATGACTTTCAAGGGCTACCTCCTTTCAAATTAGTCACAACACATCAAATTCGCTTAGCATATGTCATTCCTTTTCAAACAAATAGCAGCTCCCTTTTATATCAGCTCTGACGAGTTCCGCCATCCTCCACAACAGGACACCACAAACAAATAAATGCAGCATAGGTTAGCATTTCGTGGAACAAAGTCCTCCTTGAAATGGTGGAAAAAGGCCACGAACAGTTCAAACAACGAAAGGTTCATGTCGTGAAGGCTACCATTGTCAGATCTGATAAACGAAGCTCAAACAAACCGTTAGTGGCAAAATCTGCCGCAGCTTGTGCATAACGACATAATGCCTCCTGATCAACGTTTTGAGTGGACAACAATTGGGAAACATCGTCGTTATCCTATAACGTAGATAATTTGTGTTGAGTCGTCCCCTTATATTCAGGACGTCAAAACAGGTAAGTGAAAAGGTGAATGTACAAGAGCACAGGCTCGCAAGTATCAAGATTTACCTTGAGAATGACTCCCATGTCTAATAAACTTTGCTTTTTCGCACACATTACGAAATAATGAGTGTCGTCCTAAAAACCGCAAGTCAGATTTTCAATTTTGATGGCTTTCAACTTTTCTTCTACTAAACATACCTTGTAATAAACAATATTCTCCAGATCAACTCCTGTCTTAGCATACATCTCTTTGAAGAATGCTTGATTGAAGATATATGCCACACCACTGAAATATCATACCCCCTAACTGTCGTGTACCATACCATATACCACACTGACCTTATTTCGGGAACCCTTTCCTCCGCAGGCGTCTTGTTGTTAACGAAATTAGCTGTTATTCCAATGGCCAATTTCCCACGCATCTCCTCACGAGGAAACCCTATAAAAAGACACAGTTGAAATCCATGCGCATCAAAGCAATTGTGTTGCGATTGTATTCCCTCCATGACAATTAGCGCTGTTGCTTCATCGATGCACATTCGCTCCTAGAGTTGTTAGAAAAGTAGGCCAAAAAACGATCAGATGATATTGTGATTCCCAAAAAAATGTCAAAAGGTCCCAGAGGGAGCCATTTCGACAGCCCAGAGTTCTGCAATAGCTAGGCCCTATATGTTTCCATGTCTGGACAAGCACAGTACGACAACAGACTTCCCTCGGTTCGAGGGCAAAAAACACAAATGTATTCAATCACGATAAGCTGACGATTTCGGCGAAACCGATTGAGTGACGACTCTCGTGACTCCTAACCGGTTTTACAACTCAACTTCTATATGCACGAGGCATTTTTGAAAATGGGAGGAAAAGATTAAGGACCTTAGTCGAAATCCATCATCAAAAACTAGGAAACCATTCAAATTTCCCGATTTAGTTCTCGAAGGGAGCTTGCCTGGTATAGTATTTCGCTTCCCATCAGCTCCTATCAGGACGTCGATGTCGGTTTCGGCTAGAATGTGTCCTTTAGGTTCGAGACAGGCACGAAATCCCGTAACTGGAAGGAACTGTATTTAGGACGCATTTGTAAGCAAAAACATCAAGGAAATGGGTGGCTTTCAATTATAGACGCAGAATGCAAAGGCGAGACTGCGTTCATACTTTGCGAATAAAGATTCGGAGAATAGGGAAAGACGATTCGACTTTTTGGAGAATGTGCGCCAAATGAAAGTGTAGTGTAGGCCTACCTGAGAGAGGAGGATAGTCGGCGATTCGAGGTTTTCGAGGTGAGAGAGCGCGAGGCGCGTTCGCCGACGGCGTGAGGAGGGGAGGGGGCAATTTGTTATTCCACTACTTTCCAACGGCGTGTTGAGCAATCAAATGTATTACACCTGTGAAATCTTATGAAGCGATGAAATGATACCAGCCGAAGGTGATAGAGACCACTTGTCAACTCTTGTAAAGCAATGAAATATCTTGCAGATGTCATTTACACTCTAGTTCGCTGCGGACGGTTGGGCGTGTCAGGCAGTATGAGTGTGTCACCCCGTCAAAGCCGTTCTCTGCCTTCTTGTTGAAGCGCGCATGCGACAAAAAGTGGTAGAAAACGAGAATACGAACGATATGATACAGTATTGTCACTTGCCCGCTTCAACAACTGGTGGAGAACGAGTTTGGCACCGCGCCAAACGCAGCCGCACTGACACGCCCAACCGTCCGCAGCGAACTACACTATACCATGGTGGCCGACGAGCTTCTTCCAGCTTCACGAGAGCTCACATGTTCACCAGAGCAATACATGTAAACCAAACTAGTGAACGAAAGTGAGAAATACCACCCTCCCCCTCCTCCTCCCATAGGTCGCAGAACGGCACCGAGAACGATGAAGGGGTGGGTCATTCGAACAGTGGGAGAAAGGGAGAACTGGCGAATCGACGTATTGGGAAGATGCGTGCCGAAGGAGAGTATAAGTGTGAAGAACGCGCATTCTCCCATAACATCGCATCGCTAGTAACCGAAGTCCATCGACACCCATCCATTCCTTTGGCGCGCACTGCCCCAAGACGTCGACTCGCTGATCCTCCTGTTCTCCCAAGCCGCCAGATTTATGGCTACACTTTCTTCTGGGGCAATCCCAAAAAAAAACTTGGATCAATCCAATTCTCCTGTTCTCCCATCGCAGAGTATAAACGCAGCCCAACCAGTTCAGCGGTGTCAAAGTGACATATAAGTCATACAGTAAGATCCAACACTGTTCGAAATTAAGAAGCAAATTTACCAATATTATCCACTTTCTTGGGGAAAAGCAACTGTACAAATGATACAGAATCATGAATTTGAACTCCGAAACAAAGTGCAACTTTCAAAAGGATACACTGCAACTGCCGAATACCTGAAATCAACCAATACGAAAGGTGTCAATTCCATAAGATGTCGAGAATACTCACTGATGTGTTCTATGCTACCGGTACAGAATTTGGGATAGAAAATTTTGGCTCCTAGAGACTTCAAATCTTGGATAACAAATTCCCAGAGATGCAGAACATTGTTCCGACTGAAACGATCTCGTTGTTCTACGAGAACCACTCGACATCCCAGCAAGGCACATTCGATAGCCGATCGTAAACCACATGGACCTTAAGTTAAAACGTACAATGGGTCCAAAACAATCGCAATAGTCGGCTATTTACGAACCTGCTCCAATAACAAGAACGTTGAGCAATTCGCCAGCTCTCTGTTTCTTGTACTCAGCGAGTTCCCATTTCTTATCCAGTAATTTCCATAATTTTTGCGCTTTCCAGTCGTTTAATAAGCGGAGCCTGGGAACAGTACAATCTAACGAAAGCGGCGATTCAAAAAGCATAATACCATGGAAAATGAATGCAATTGTTAGCTATAATTTCATACCCACTGGCTCTTTGAATGACAGCATCACATGACTTTTGAAGAAAAAGTTGTTTGATTAGTACAGCCAAATTTGCAATGCACAAGGAAAAACTTGCAAATTTATATCGTTAAATAGAAATTCTTTTCAGAGACCAAATGGAAGGAACCAGATCTAGGGATGCTAAAGAAGCCGTAGTATAACGACACAGGTGTCTCAAGAAGGCCTTTCAGATAATTCGCTATGAAATGTCCTGTGGCGAAGAGGAAAGGGGCGTTTTCAGTCGGCTGAGCTCAAGCGGCGCTATTCGTAACACTGACTGGCCAGCTGCACTCTCGCGTATTACTCACTCACTCCTCGATAAACACTACAACTTTAATGTCAAAAAAAAAACGATGACGGCGGCGTCCACGTCATGAGGCGCACTTTGGCTTCGCTACCCTAACTGTTCTTCTGAATTTAGAATTCCCGACAATAGTAAGTAAGTAATAGCGAAAAGCTCACAACGCTGGCGTACATTCAAAATCTGACACAAAGTATGAACGCAGCTTAGTTGTGAAATGTAATCGTTGCCGCTCTTGCTCGCCCGTCAGTCGGTCTTGCTCCTCCTGCTCCATCGCTAATCGCCTAACCCTGCGAATCGTGCGACATGTAGTCGCTCGTCCCCCAAATTACGAGATGCATCAATATGCTTGATTGTAGTAGCGAAGGCCTCAAATCACAACTATGAGCGTAGTCATAGAAAGACGCGTGTTTATGAGTACAAAAATTTTGGAAAGCTGGGAAAGCAGTGTCAGGGCAATGTGCAGTGCGGGCAAAATATTTGCACAGCTGTGAAGCAGATATCTGTACTTATCGCGCAGTGTCTTGGAGCAATGGAAGGGGTCTTAACAAGAAAATCTGATTAGAGAGAAGATGAGTTTCTGGCACTGTTCCAATGAGTAGGGCATATGAAGTCTCCTTGTCCGATCAGGATACGAAAACCCCTCTTTTTAACAAATGAATCACTTCGCCCACTACTAATGTTCTTGTCCTCTGAGCGGAGGAAAAGTCTCCTTTTAAACTTGCAATCGTTACGCACCAGAACGGCCCCCACCTTAGGCTGCGCTCATACTTTGCGTCAGCGTTCCTAACGTACGGCAGCGATTTGAGCGACTGCACGCGAAAAGTTCAAAATAACCCGCAAAACGCTCGAAACTCTCGCACCCCAGAACGGTAGATCGATACCTACACTTTCCTAGTCGCTCAAGACGCTACCGTACGCTCAAAACACAGACGGAAAGTATGAACGCAGCCTTGCAGCCTTACTGGAAGTGCCAATTCTCGATTCTGTGCATAATAAAAATACAGAACATACTTTCGGTAGACGTTGATGGCATCTGTAGGGTCGATGTCGAGTGCTACACAAAGTTGGTAGAAAGAGTTTTGTATAGAGCGAAATGTTGAGGCGACAATAAAGTTATCGAATAAAGTACAGGCCGCCATAGTTTTTGAGTTAAACTCAGTTACAGTTCATTACGCATCTGAAAATCACAGCGTAGGGGTTTTAACATTAACCAGACGCATTTGAACACACGATATCGCGACCAATACGGTCAAACGAATAATTATCCAAAACTTGTCCAGGACTCGATAATGTAGTTGATATATGTATGCAACGATAATAACCCCTCATAGCAAAGGGGGAGGCAAATCAATTGCCATACAAAAAGCTTAGGGAAATAGTGTGTACATGGAGATGTCACAGATAATTGCTTGCAGAATCCCATGAAATGGGGTGGAGTTCGTTCCTGACAATGACACATTTCAAGTGAGCAATTCACAGACATAACAAGTGATAATGGGCACATTCAAAGCAATAAGTGCAATTGTGATGCGATAGCGAGCAAACAAATATCGGGCTGATAACAGGTTTGTGTCGGTGGCTGAAACATCACAAGCGTTGGAGAAGCCAAACTGGAACGTCACTCCTAACACCCCAAGGGTGTGTGACAACACAATCGCCAAACGCCGCGCTGGGCGTGACGTGTGACGCACGCCTGACAGACGAGTTCCTTTCCTGAACGTTAAGCTTTGAAGGGCAAAAAAATACGATGTCACCCGACATGGAGTCCTAACTCCGCTTGGATTAATATAAGCTCTGCAAATACGTGACGTTAAGACCACGCGGCGTCGCGCGCGACAACAGTAAATACCGTACGGTTACGATCGGCGCACGATCACGATAGTTTTGTTATCGCTACAGTGACGTTTCGCTGCTATTTTTTCATCTAGGCAGTCCGTCGTAGCTCAACAAAACAACGATAAGTGGAGCCTCTGAGATTATGCTTTCCAGAAAGCAGTGCGACTGTCAAATGCTTAAGGGACCAGCTATTAATCGTAAGACCAATTAACTCGTGAACAGAATCTGTGCAGGTTTCTCTGCATTATTATAGGTAATCACTCTATTTACGCCAACATCTAACGGTCATGACAATCCAGGTCCTAGCAGAGTGAAGAGAGTGGCTGAAAACAGACGCGAACACAATCTAATTCAATAGCACGATGAGTTTATCAAGCGCTTGCGCTCCATTGCAACACGCGTGCGGTGCTTACAGATTACCGCGCAAGCGACGTCGAATGGTTCTAAATACCGTCTCCCGAATTTCGCCATTTTCAATTGATGCACATGGAGAATAAGCAGCGCGTTGCGTTGCGTGCGACGACGCATCCAATAAATTGTCTTGTTTGGCTCCACCCAGTCAACGTTTACCCAGCAAAGCTTTTAAAGCAATTGTCTGAACCATTCAACTACGAAAAAGGCAATAGGAATAGGAGGAGGGCAATCGGCGTGAAACCCTGTGCTTTGGGAACCCTCGTCACAGCGCATTTCACACCACGACCCACTTGGTTTCCGTGGGAACACCCCGGCTGGGATCGTTCGCTATGCTCTCCATGCATGCAAGGCGTTGTGATTTGTTTCAGAAAATATGCACCCTTCGCAAATGATTCTTCAAGCCCACATGTACTTCACACGGGCCCTCATTTGGGGTAATTCATGACGTTTAATTCGCTGCGACGGTTGGGCGTGTCATGCGGTATAAGTATGACGGGGTGCCAAACCCGTTGTCCACCAGTTGTTGAAGCGAGCAAATGATATGACTGTATCATATCGTCCCGTAAAACTCGTGGTTCCTACACTCTTGTGCAATGCGCATTCGGTCAGCCCAAAAAGGTAGGAACTCTTTGACGGCGTTGCCTGACACACCCAACCGTCCGCAGCGAACTAGAGTGTACCTTGGCGCCCACTACCAGGGCGTGATTACCAACCCCGGAACTCTTCCCTTTAGGTGTGGACAGCGTTCATACTTCGGGACAGCAGCGATTAAGTCGGCGCTTCTATGCGATCTACGCTTACGACCGACCGCGCTGCGAACCGCGTCAAGTACTAGCTGAGCTATTTTGCGTTTATTTACCCCTTTTCTTCTTAGGCAGCGTTCAGACTTCGCGACGGCAGCGCTTCGGTCGCGCGATTCGACGATCGATGCGCATGCTTTCAACTGCATCGATCGCGTCGACCGAAGCGCTGCCGTCGCGAAGTCTGAACGCTGCCTTAGTAGTTATTAATTTGAATATTCGACTGATTGAATCTCAGTATTAACGCAACTTGAATTCGATATGAACAGGTTTTTTTTCTTAATTTGCATTGTGATTCTCCATGATTCATTCCTATTTGCTCATCATGCAGAAAATCGAAACTACTGCTGAGAAGTCAGGAGACTCATTCAACTGGATTTTTGATTAGTACTTGAAACGGTACAACGATTAGTGTTAGAGCGCGGTCGGTTGAGAATACGCGATCGCCTCGATTGAAGCGAGAATCGCTGCGGACGCGTAGATAGAGCGCAACTGTAACATGAAAAAGTCCTCATCTTTCTGGCTCGCGATCTTTTTCTTTTGCGCCGTCCGCCAACCTTTGCTTTTAATGAGAGCGAATCTTGGCCCAGGGTTTGAATGCTCAATCTCTCTGTACCAAAATATCCCACGCTGTTGGAATCGCGTCCACATGAGCAATAGATCTACTGTGTTTACGATGCAATCAACAAGTCGCACATAACTAGGCCAAATTCGAACCTTTCAGCAGTTAATGAATCTTGACATGACCTTGTAAGAGGTCTTTAACGCTGCGTTCAATGTCAAGTGGTGAGTCGGACAAGTGTTCCGTTGGAAAACGCTTCACCAATTACATCGAAACCTTTCAGGAACGGTCTTTAGAACCGAACTTCAGAGTCTCTCTAACGTTTCGCATCAATCATAAGAGCTCAGAAGCTCACAAAAGGTTGTTAACATCAGGGCACGCCATCGCGTTGTGATAATTGTACACCCCC